TAAACACAGCCATATGCACATGGCAGGAAAGAGCATAGATCCTAGAGAAAGCCCCATCTCTGCCATATCTCTGGACAAATGAAATTTCTTACCATACGCTAAATATGGATCCTTACATTTACAGACAGGCATACTGTACACCACTCATCAAAGAAGCTTCTTTTTGCAACAGATGGAGGATCCTACAATGTTTCACAACTGATTACACACAGAGAATATATATCTGAGAGATGCCCAGTCCCAGGTGACATATTTACAGTGGAACCTCTACACCTAAGGCTTGTGGAACATAACTAAACAGGGGCCAGAGAGAAAACTAGTGCATCCCTCAACCCTCACTAGAAGCTTCCTTATACAACAGAGTGTGATGCACACAGAAGGCCACAATTGGCTAAGATTTAGAGAATAAGAGACTACAGAGTGTGTGTCCCTGGTAGGACTCCTATATTAAACCTCACCTCATCCACCCCCAACTCAGGGACCTTTGTGGAAGAGAGGGTGGAAAGATTGTAAGAGCCAGGGTTGGTCCATAAACATCAGGAAACAGAGGTTTTGAGGCCACTGGAAGCTTGCACATGTGAACTTGTGGCAACGGCCGCATTGAGCACAAGACCCATGCCAACTCAATCAGACAAGGGCCCAGAGGGAGCGAGGGAAATGGGAGGCAGGCCAGTACTAGTCTGGGAACTGTTGGAGACGGATTACTACTGGGTGAGGAGAGTAGACCTTACTTACCATCTCCAGATAGGCTGACTAGATGAATCTGCACTAAATGACATCTGGGTACAATTGCTTGACTGGATTGGATTTAACATATATGGTGGAATGCATGAGGTCCTGCAGAGGTTGGGGGTGGGGGAAGGTATGTGGGCATGGGTAGCAGAGGGGGTCTAAATTCGATTAAAAACTGTTGTATGAAGTGTTCAAAAGCTCAATAATTAAAAAAAAAACTTTAAAAGCATGCACATGCACACATACACAATAAATAACTGTAGAATAGGTCCTCTCGAGACTAGAATCTTCAAATGACAGAGACTGGCCCTGTCCCCAGCATAAGCCCAAAACAGAGGCAAAACCACTGCTATTTACAACCTGGAACCTCAGGGGAGGGGTTGTAGCAACTCAGAGAAGGCTGAAAACTCCTGCCCAACATTGGAAAGTCCTCCACCCTCCAGTCTGCTCCACCATCAGCCTGTCACTAGAGGAATATGGGTGAACCATGGCTTGCTGTAGAGGACCAAAGATGCAGGCTCATATGAGGGGACCACAGCTCCAGTACAGATAAGGGAATCACAGCACCAGCTTTCGTGAGGGGACCACAGCTCCAGTTTCACAGGAAGGGACCATAGCTACATGTTCATGGACAGGGACACAGCTGTGGTCTTGATGCCACACATGTATGCTGAATTTCTGCCATTCTCAGGCACCAAGAGTTTTTCCATTATTTTTCTATTATTCTTCTACAGCCCCAGGGTGCCTTCACCTAAATCCTATGGAAAATGTAAAACATCTCATTGAACTTCTAGAGATAAAAATCACAGTTTGGGAAACTAAAAAAAGAAAGTACTATAATAACTAAATCGACATAACTCTCAAACTGAAAATATGAAATTATATTTTAGATGTCTACTATAATTTTTGAGTGTCATTTACTGACAAAGTCGTACTACCAAGCTTCAATAATAATGTAAAATTTGTCACTGTTGCTGTGATATGAGTTTGGCATTCACTCCCTTATACATATACAAAGTTTTTAAATGGAATCATATTATTTTTTTAAATTTTCTGATCTTTTGTATATTTCATGTTATTTTTTAAAGAAAGCAATACTAATAAAAAATTTTAAACAAACAAGTGAAGTTAAAGAATACTCTTAACCAGTAAAAAGTAAGTCAACATTTATAAATGTCCAAAATCTATTGTTGAGTGGTTGTTGTAAATTAAAGAAACATTCATAGTGAACAATTCAACTGAAAATTCATGAAAATAAAATTGCTTAAGAATTGCATTTAAAAGAAATCTTTAAAAACGTTACCTAGCTCTGAGTCTGGGGTAATGGATTATTTACTTCTTTCTGTTTGGTTGTTTCACAAAAGTCTAGAGGTGAATATATCCTACTTTTGTAATAAAGGGAACAAAGAATAAACTTGGAAGATATTTTAATGTATGTAACAGACAAAAATACTATGTCTGAAACGTATAACAAGCTTCAAATCATAAAAAGGCAAGCAATACTTGCTACTTTTTAACATATTAAGTGCCTTACATGTATCATCTCATCTAACCCCTCTGATAACCTTCTGAGGAGTATACCTTTTCTTCCCAGTTACAGAGGAGGAAGCTGAGAGCCAGAGAGATTAGGCAACTTGCCCAGAATTACCAAGTTAATAAAGATACAGCTAGAATTGAACCCTGAAGTCTGAGTCTATAAACTCACAACACTAAACAGTGCTACCAGCAATTTTCTGGGAAGATGATAAGCTCCAGCAATGCAGAGACAGCAAGAAACAAAATCACCACTTTCATCTATAAGACAGAAATATTAGAATGTTTGATTAAAGAACACCAAGTGTTGGTGACATTGGCTGTGGATTGATATAACTACTTAGAAAGGTAATTTTGAAGTATCTGGCAAACCTGAAGTTTCTTTTTCCTTAGAGCCTGCAAAGTTTACTTCTATATATAAATTCTAGAAAGATATATGAACATCTTGGATGGATAAATGCCGAAATACATTTTGAACATTTCTTTAACTTATGAAAAATGGAAATAGACAATATTGAATAAGAGGAAATTCGATAAATAAGCTGTGGTATATTCAGATGCTTGCTGATGGGATGAGCGGGGTCTGTAATTACAGGTGAGTGTCAGAAGAACAGCACTGAGTTATGTACTTTTTAGTCACACTGACATCATATCGCCCTTTAAAATTTTGACACATGTAAGAATGGTTTTATGTGTCACTCACAATTTGTTTTAAAAGTAGGTTGAATAGACTTAGTTCAATGAAAGTAGCTGATTCTGAGGAGTCAGGGCTATTCAAAGGCAGCTTAGCTTTATCTATGATCTCATCTTGACATTCTGTAGGCATTACAAAAACAGAGAGCATGGAGTTCGGGGGGGAGTTGGAGGGGATGGAAATGGGGAAGGGGGTCTGAATATGATCAAAATACATCGTATGAAATTATCAAAGAATCAATAAAATATTTTTCCTTGATTGTTGAATTTTTGCAAATTTCATACAATATATTTTGATGGTATTTAGATCCCCTCCCTTATCCCCACCTCTCCTTACTGCACCCCGCCAATTTAATATAATCTCTCTTTCTCCTCTCTCTCTTTCTATATGTATGTGTATGTGTACGTGTGTGTGTGTGTGCACCTATAGAGTCTAATTTTGTGTCCTCAAATGTCCTTCTGTGTGGGTACATCCACTGGAGCCCTGTTAACCTATCAAGAGTCACATCCTTGAAAGAGACTGACTCTCCCCCTCCCAACGTCCATCAGTTGCCAATAGTTCCTTAAGCAGGGTTGGGGTTTCTTACCCACTTGAGAAAAGGGAACTCTTATCCACTGCTGGTGGGAGTGTAAACTGTGCAACCATTATGTAAATAAGTGTGGTGATTCCTCAAAAAGCTCTAAATTGATCTACCATTTGACCCAGTCATACCAAAAGACTCCATACCCCGCTACAGAAATACCTGTCCATCCATGTTCATTGCTGCACTTTTCATAATATCCAGGAATTGCAAACAACCTAGATGTCCATCAACTGATGAATAGATAATGAAATTGTGGTACATATGCACAATGGAATTTTATTCAGCTTTTAAACTGAAATTACGAAATTTGCAGGTAAATGGATGAAACTGGAAACAACCATCCTGAGTGAGGTAACCCAGACCTAGAAAGGCAATTGTCACATGTTCTCTCTCATAGTTGGATGCTAGCTTTGAAATCTTAGATTTGCATGTTGCAATGTGAAAATCCACAGAGGTCAAGAAACTAATAAATGGTCATCAGAGGATGGGGGAGGCTTCCTGGGAATGGAGGTAGAATGCAGTGACATCAAGGGGGAAAGAGGAAGAACAGAATAGGAAGGTTAAGTGGGGTGAGGCATGGGAGGGTGGGGCAGAGGAGGGAGGATGGGGAGGGAGAACTAACAATAAAACGTTTTAAAAGAAAGAAAAAAGGCTTGGACGATGCATGACAATGTATTAACACACCTATTCCTGTGTCTGTTTCTCTTTAACCATACTTTTGTATACACATTTGGATACAGACATGCATTATATACAAATATTTTTATTTTATGAAATATCCTTCACGTATGTGAGTGCACCGATGTCTTGCAATGCCACGGAGGTCAGAAGAGAGCTTCGAATTCTCCTGGAACTGGAGTTAAGGATGGTTCATAGCTGCCATGTGGGTGCTGGGAATCGAACCCGGGTCCTCTGCGAGAGCAGTCAGTGCTCTTAACCGCTGAGCCATCTCTCCAGCCCTGAAATAATCTTTTCTTAACAGTGAGACTTAAAATCTAAATTTTGTATCAAGCATGGTGGCTCACACCTTTAATTCCAGCACTCAGGATGCAGAGGCATGCAGATCTCTGTGAGACTGAGGTTAGCTTGGTCTACATCAAAAGTTCAAGGCCAGCTGGAGCTACAGGGAAACCCTGCTTCAAAAAGACCAAAAGCAAATAAAGCAAGCAAACAAAAGAACTTCTAAAAGTAAGGAGAGAGCCCAGGAAGGGTAACAAAGCAATGGCCACAACCTTCAAGGAGTCTTTTTTAAAGAAACCCTTGTCTTTGGTACTTAACTTAGTCTTCGGTGACAACTGAAAATTTTCCAATTAATGGTGGGACTCTGTTTAAGCCACACCCACTCCTGGTTATTCATAGCTCTAGGAAGATTTGAATTGTTCAGAACTGATGTTATTAGTATGTCAAATGAACTCTAGCCAGTCTTCCTGTGACCAGGGCCAACTGTGGAATATACTGGATCACCGGGCTGTCCCTCTGTCTCCCAACACTTTTAGAAAAGCCCCCTTTACATCATTGCTCCTGAGGCTGTAGATGATGGGGTTGAGGAAGGCAGAGACGACATTATAGAACAGAGCCAGCTTCTTGTCCCGTTCTGGGTCATACCAAGAGCCAGGCCTCATGTACATGATCATGGCTGGCCCGTAGAACATGGTGACCACAGTTATGTGGGAAGCACATGTAGAGAAGGACTTGAGCCTCCCCTGGGATGAGCGTATTCTTAAGATGGAGACAAAAATGCGGGCATAGGAGGCCAGGATGAGGGACAGTGGGACTAAAAGCAGGATGAACCCCAAGATGAAGTCCAACCGGTCATTGAAGGATGTGTCTGCACAGGCCAACTTCAGGACAGCAGGCACTTCACAGAAGAAGTGGTTGATCTGGTAGGGACCACAGTAGGGCAGACACATGGTGAAGACAGTGTAGATCAGAGCCCCAGTGATACTAATGGACCAACAGACTGTGACCATCTTGACACAAACCAGACGGCTCATGAGTAAGGAGTAGTGAAGAGGGAAGCAGATGGCAACATACCTGTCGTAGGCCATAATGGCATAGAGAACACACTCAGCAATGCCTAGGACCAAGAAGATGAACATCTGGGCTACGCAAGCAACCCAGGAGATGGTTCTCCTTGGACACACCATATTAGCCAACATCTGGGGCACAGTGGTGGTAACATAGCTCATGTCTACCAAAGAGAGAATACTGAGAAAGAAGTACATGGGTGTGTGAAGGCGAGCGTCTAGGTAGATCAGGGTGATGATAAGGCCATTGTCCAGGAGGGTGATGAGGTAAAGCAAGAGAAAAAAGATAAATAGGGCCACTCTGACCTGTGGCTCACTTGAGAAGCCAAGGAGGATAAACTCAGACACTGAGCTGTAGTTTTCTTTGCCAAGGTGCTGCATGGTGAGCTGCCTGTTAAGGAGAGACAAGCACCTTCCTGTAGATCTGTCCTTGGCCTTGACAAAAGGACAACAGTGTTCACAGAAGTGGGGCCTCACATACAACAGCATGCACACGGATTTGGTCAAACCTCTGTTGAGTTGGGTGAAAAGAGTAAGGAAAGCAACTATGGCACTGGGCGGGGAACTGGAAGGTCTGACTAATCACAAGACCATCTCTGGAAGCCACCTTCCTCCACAGAAGACAGGAAATTAGGTTATTTTTGCAGTAGGGACAAGACCAAGCCATAGCCACAGCTATATTCAATTCTGTCACACTTGAGCCAATCTGGAGTAGGCAGATCCTTCTGCTGAAAATCAGCTACAAATCTGCAAGACTGAGTTAACACTGTGGGTAATTGGGGCACTATCATTCCAGAGCTGTGTGGTGGAAACCCCAAGTCAGCAGAGCTGAGGCAATTGGGGAGCAGACAAATGGAGGCCTTACAGAGAGGAGAAAAGACAGGATGGAGAACAAATGCTATTTCACTACTGACTTTAGGTAACATCTCAATATAGGTCAACTATGCTCATTTGGAAATTCAGACATTCATTGACTAGGTGGTAATTGACCTTCACCAATATATGAGAAGTTCTGTTGACAAGTTAACTGTGGACAAAAATCGCTATAATTGTGCTTAACAACTTAGTTGTTCTCTAGCATTAAAAAATACATTTAGGGACTGGTGTTGCAGCTCAGTTGATAGAGTGCTTGCCTAGCATGATGGAATCCCAGGTTCAATACTCTGCACCCCATAAACCTGGCATGATGGCACATACCTGTAATCCCAGCACTCACTAGTGGAGACCAGAAATTCAAGGCTATCCTTCCTATATGAGACCTTGTCTCAAAAAAATGCATTCCATTATGATCTTGATATGACAGCACTGTATTTGCCTAATAAAAATTAGAGCCTAAAGTGAGAAGATGCAGGGCATGCCGAGTAGAAGAAGGGAGAGACCTCAGCTGTGTGCTCCTGAGGCAGCAACACTGGGTCCTGACCTGCTGCTCTCTGCTCTGCTGAGCCTGTTCCAGGCTTTGCTTCTTGAACTTAGATATATGTGGGGTTTTCTGTGCTACCCTCCCTTGACCAAGGTTTTAGTTCACTTTCCCTGAGTACCCATCCCATAGTAGTCATGCAATGCCCATGGAGGGCAGAAGAGGGTGTTGGATCCCCTGGAACTGGAGTTATGGACAGTTGTTAGCCACCATATGGGTGCTGGGATTTGAACGCAGGTCTTCTGCAAGAATAGCTAGTGCTCTTAACCACGGAGCTATGTCTCCAGGACCACAGCCCCACTTTTTAAAATGAGGCTATTGGATATGACCAATCGGATATGATTATCCATAGGGCCCTTCCAGCTCTGATAGGTCTTTGATACAGGTATACCAGGCTAGAGACCTGTAAACACATCAATGCCCTGAACACCAGGGAAGGGCTGAACTGGACAGGACTGTCTGCAGGTTCATTCCAGGAGTTTCAAAAGTGAGACCAGAGCACTGGTGGGCTTGTAACACATGGTCTTGGAGTCAGCACACCTGAATCTGGTAGCCTCTGGGAAGGCAGTCATGGTAACCATTATACCACCAACACCTCTGTGGATCTGATAGCCTCTTTACCTCCTTACAGGTCATGGAGCTACTCAGTCCCTTGTTTTTTCATCTATAAAATTGATATGTTGTCCCCTCCATAGTGGAGCCTACATGAGATATATCTGGTTTATAGACAATGCTTGATGAATTGTGACAATTTAGATGATGGGGCATTGGGTAGAAAGAGGAGCAGAGAGAGGAGAAAGGTACAAAAGCATTCTTGAATATTTGAAAATCTTCAGTCCGTTCTGACAACATTGGTCATGAGAACTGGTGGCCATGAGATGATGGCGGAATTCTGGAAGAAGGAAGTCAGGGATAGGAGGCTGAACACACCAAGGAGGACATATGAGACGTGTGTTCTGACCTTCAAACAGTATCAGGAATCAGATGACAGAGGAAGATATGTGAAAGCAAGAGAGGACTTAGCATAGTTCAGAGCCTTGGGCACCAGGAGGGCATGCTTTCAAGAAGCAAGAACTGGTGAGCAACCTAAATGGCCATCCCTGGGGTCCAGACAAGAACGGAGAACGAGGAGATGCCCACATCCTCCTTCTCATTAGCCACACTTGACCTGGTCCTTCACAGAGGCCTCCCACTGGCTTCCTCATCCACATACCAACAGAGGCATGCTCACCTAGCCTACCATGTCTCATGTCTCCTGGATGGAACCCAAGGCCTTGCACAGTGACGTTAACAGCTTTCAAGCCATTATGATTCTTCAGCAGCTCCATGAGACTGCTGACTCATGATGTTAACAAGACGACCACCACTGGGGTCCTGGTCTGGGCAACAAGAGTCCCCTCATCTTGGAGTCATAGAGCTTCCAAAGCAGCTGGCTTTCTCATCAAACCTGCCCTGTGTACTCTTGTGGCCATCCTTTCCCGACTCTGGCGCCACTGGCGCCTCCCCTAATCCTTTGTGGTTCTTCAGCTCCAACCGCCCTTCACAGTCCCACTTGGGATTCCTCCTCCTTACCTGGATGGTCCAGCCTTTTTAATTTCCTATGTGTATTGCCTTCTCAGCCACGTTGGAGATAGAGATTGTCTCTTTTATCTCACCACAGCATCTAACAAAAGGAAGGCACCTGTTCAGGGCTTGGAGAAATCTTGAGTTCACAACTGTGTTCATTTGGGAAAAGATATGTAGGCAGGGACTGGCAGACAGTGTTTTGAGTCTTATTTCAGCACTAGTATTGTTGGCTTTAAGTTCTGCTCTGCCTCCCATCAAACTAACAAGTGGTGGGACCAGGACTAAAACCCGAGTATTTGGCTGAATAGCTGGCTTAACCATTATGCGCTACTGCCTCTTGCAAAGCTGAAAGAGAAATTACCCCAAGGCTCCCTGTCCACATCCACTGTCCTCCCTCTAACTGCTAGTGTCCGCATCTCCTTCCCAGCCTCAGTGCTTCTGGTAGAGAGGAAAGGAGAGAATACTTCATCAGAGTTCCCCCTAGGGAGCCACAGGGCGTGCTTTGGGTGCAGGAATTGGAGGGGCTCCTGAGAAGGACCCATGCAAGTCTGGAAATGCCACGAAGAAAGCTGCAGATCAGTTCCTGCCCATGAACAGCAGGCTCCTATTCCTCCATCCTAGTGAGTGAACAGAGACAAAGGCTCTTTGTTCAAGCTTAGACATTCCCGAGGCAGCACTCTCTCCCAAGCCCCTCCTTCAGTCACCTACAAATGGCCAGCTTATTCTGCTGGAGTATCTTCCTCCACCCCTGTGTTGGCAACAGCCTGCTCCCTCAGTTCTGTAGCGCAGGAGAGAAAGCAGTCCACCCTCTGTTCAGTAGCATGGCTGTTCAGGAGAGAGTCATGTCTCTCTTAAGCATGGTGAATGAGAGCATCCTTGCAGGATGGGGCTCCAGTGGGCAGACCCAGGGGTCCTCTTTGTGTCAGATGAGACCAGAGAGAGGGATTCCAGCTCCTGAGAAGCCCTGGGGATGACTTGTCCATGCTGGCACACGCTGCACAGAGCTCCAGAGCTGATTGAAAGATGCAGCTGGGAAACCTAATGCCCCTAAGACATTTCAGGCTTTGCCCCTGGAGTTGAGGAGCTGGACATCCTTTGGAAGTTTCCATGAGCCTTCAGAAGGGAGGGTTCTACTGACTGAGCTGCCATATCCCTGTTTGACATGATGGTGAGAACTGTCAGATGTTCTGTTTGCTTCTGAAGCAGTTTCATGTGTCCTTTACATCCTCAGACCTGTTATCTGAAGCTGCATACCTAGTAGAGGTTAAACTAAAGCTTGAGTGGAGGTAATACAAAGGTCACTAAGACTACTAGTCCCTCTGTAACCGTTATTTATTGAAACCTACTATTATCCTTGGGTACCTACCCAAGACCCCATACTTCACTGTGGTATAAATGTTGTCAAACCTGAATGATAGAATGTATGAAGAGCCATGAGTCTAATTAGGAAAGCAATATAACTACAAATCCCTTACAGTGGCTAACTGGCCCGAAACTGGCGGGCTGGTTTGCTCAACTGGCCACTCTTCGGGCCAAGACACTGTTTACGGAGCCGATCTGTCTCCTTTAGTGCCACAAGATAACTCTTCCTGAGAAAATAATCTTGGGAAGAAAACCCTCAGTTACCTCAAGGACACCAGACCCTGGCACAAGTTAACTCTGCCAGTTGTGTGCAGCAGAGTTCCTTTATAAGTCCAGACTGCTCTGCCATTCATTGTAGATACCCTCATTCCGTGGAAGGGTTTATTGGCTCTTTGCTGGGTTCCTTGAATAAAGGAGCACATTCCTTGCCTGTTGTAGGTCTAGCTCTGACTCATTTCTAAACTTTAAACTCCTTCCTTTTTCTGCCCTCCTAAATCTAACACTGAGGACCTACTATTGAACACCTTTCCTTATTAGGTACCACACTGGGAACTACACATATAATACAGTTTATCTTCATGACAAGGCTGGTAAGACATTTGATAGATCACAAGTTTGAGAGTCAAGTGCCCAGTTTACTCCACATAGCAGAACAAATATAGATCTGGATCTATCAGATTCCACATCAGTCCACTGTTGTGTTTCTATGATCGGGGCAAAGTACGGGTTTTTAGGGTGTGAGGTCAGGCTGTAGAATGCCTGTAAGGCTGGGGATGAGAACCAGGTTAGAAAGTCTGGGAAAATGTGTAGCCCTCCTCTAGCCCAGTTGGAGGATTCCCTCACCAATTAAGTGCTCTGTTGAGTCCTGCTGGAGTTCCAAGAGAGGACAGGAGGTAGATGGCTTGGCCTCATTGACTGCTACAGGAGGCTGCCTTGTGGATGGGAGACAGGTCAACTGTGAGATACAGTGCCATCTAGCAGGGTAGAATTAAAATTCTTTTTGGAATTTTGTCTTTCAAATTAATTAATTATTTACAATTTTG